TTTTGTGAAAGGTTTAAAAATAGGAGTCCAAGCTGGGCAGTGGTGGCACACGCCTTTAGTCCCAGCACTTGAAGGGGGTGGAGGCAGAGGCAGGAGGACCTCTGAATTTGAGGCCAGCCTGGTCTACAGAGTGAGTTCCAGGACAGCCAGAGCTACACAGAGAAACCCTGTCTCAAAAACAACAAAAAAGAACAGGAGTCCAGCTTCTGAGGACACGATGTACAGGCTGCAGAGTGACTACAGGGTGAGGGGCTGAGGAAACACAGCGTACCATGGAACAAAGGAAGAGGGCAAAGAGCTGACATCTGATGACAGGGCATGCTGCTGTCTAGAGATGCCTGCCTCTCCATCGCCCAAATTAAGGAGAAAAGAAAAAAAGGCATTATCTGGAGGCCCCATCTTTCCTAAAAAGATGGTTGCTGATCCCTCCCACAATGATAAGCTGGTAATCAAGTCTCCAAGGGGCACTGGGGCTCTACTTTGACGGTGTTGGCTGATTTCTAGCTACTAACATCCCAGCATTAACTAGAGAGAAGAGTGGGCAACCACACCAGACACAGTAACCTGCAGGGGTAAATCTGCAAAGGTTCATAGAACAGCAGATAAGTGGGAATTCCTATCACTCCCCCTTTTAATATAATAATGAGCTTATGTAGTTTAAATGTGAATAACAACTGTGTCCAACAAGAAACCTAGCAGTCTGACCACTGGCTGTGCAAGCTGGTCCAAGCTGCTTCCAGCCACCACAACTTCTCAAACACAGGCTCACCTGATGACGTGATTAATGATGATGGGTTCTGGAGGCATAAGCAAGGCATGGAGCCGCTGAGGGATCTCTGAAAACTTCATCCGCTGAGATTCAAAGATCTGTGAGAGAGAGAAGTGGCTATAGACGGGTACTTTCAATGCAATTAGACCCTCAAATAGAGTGTGTCCTTCACATACCTGCTGGAGGTACTTGTCACAGATAACAAACTCTCGCTCGTGAGGGTCCTGGAGCTTATGTGTTTTAATATATTGCCACAGTGCTTGGATGATCACTGGACGTGTCTGGGTATGGATGCCCAAAAGCCGAGCCAGGCGAGGGTCTAATTTAAACTGGGGGGGCTGCAGAGAACCAAGAGTACACATAAGCTAATTGAGCTGGTTCCATGTGCATTTTGGGGCATTTAGTATGGCAACACATTCAATCTAATGAACACTAGTAAATCAGGGCAGCAAAGTCACAGAAAGAGCTCAGATAACGAGGAAAAATGGTCCTTTCCTAGTGTACCACCGTGGCAAAGCACTCACGAGCAGACTTAAACCCTTCAAGTCAGACTCTCATGGGATGTGGCCATGGAAGCTGGACCCCTTCACACCTCCAAATACCTGGTAATCCAGCATCAGCAGGACAGTACACCGTACGTTCACATCTCCCGGTCGCTTCACCTGGAAGCCATCGGTCTCCTGGGTAGTGGCGGTCCTGTGCCACTACAGAGAGGAAGATGTCAGGGGTGCTCTCCCAGAGGAAGAGCTGGGGTAGGAGGGAAGAGCTTCTGTAACGACCGAACATTCAACTGTGATTACTGAGGCTACTGGGGAAGAGCAATAGCATGAGACATCTCTAAAGATGTACGTGCCTTTGGAATTACGGTCTGTGTAAGCAGAACCGTTCAGTTCTGTTTGGGAGGACTGCATTTAAAATGGCTTGAATTTCCAGTGATAATTTTACCCACTAAATAGATAACATACATGGAACAGAAACCTAAGGTAGCTTCAACTTTTTGAGGGCGATATATGAGTCTATGACATTCACCTGGATTATCACTTACTTCCCAGACACCCACTGCAGACAGGTGTGATTAAACCCCTCTTACAAGGAGGAGAGTGCTACCTGGGAGGAGGAAGCAACCCACTGAGGTCACTACATAATGGAGCTGAGATGTGAGCTCTGACGTGTCTGACTCTCAAGCCCACAGTCTTAGCCTCGATACTCTACTGCTAGAAAACCAAGCATCTTTACAGACTGCTATTGACTCTATGACTTACTTCCCTTAGATGGCAGAGACCTTCCCATGTCTCTTAGTGGCTGAGGTTAAGGGGCTGCAGCTACATGGTAAAGAAAGGGGCAGGTTAAGTTCACGAGGAACACTGGACTATTCTGGGTTTGTGTCCCAACACTGTGGCTGACAGTCTTCAAAACGCTGTACAACCAGGTGTTATAACGAACCTCTGGTTATTTGAACTATAAATCTAAAGGAGCAAGAGCTGGATCTATGACCTAGACAAACACTAGCACTCTATTGGCCCACCCGCTAACTACGGCGACAGCGATCAGGAAAACACAATGTGTCGGGAACTACAGCCCACCAATACTTATAAACAAGATGCAGAGATAGCCGAAGTGTAAGAGGACTCCATCGCAAGTTTCTTTGGGGGCAGTGGTCAGGTGGGTCAAGTCAGATTGCAAGAGCTCTTGGGTCCCAACTAAGTACAGCTAGCGCCACCTAGAGGTCAACATGCAAACTGCAAAGGTGGAAATGCACAGTTGGCAATTTCATTCCTCCTCCCTTTCCCTAGATGTTCAAGTTTGGCCATCATCCCCAACACGACTACAGCCTGGAGGGCAGGACTACTCACTTCTACCAGATGGTTGTCTGGCCCATAGAGGTCTTTGTCCAGTTCGATTACCAAGGACTTAAAAAAGGAGGAGAACTTTCTCTTTTGCTTGGTGGCATCGTATTTGGACAAGGCTGACTAGAAGAGATGGACAGTGTCACGTTGGAAAAAGAAAGGATTCCCCAAGACAACGTTCTTTAAGAAGGAATTTCTAACCCCAATGGGGAAAATCCCTGGAAAATATTTTCTGAATGTGGCAAGGTGGCCATTAAGTCAGTGGCGGTGGCAGCAGTACCTTAACAAGGACAGGGTCCCTGACTTCCCACTGGGGACAGGAGGCAGTTAAGCCAACTGGTTAACATAACAAAGCACATTTGACAGAAAAGCCCAACTGCAAGGGGAAATGAATCACAGGCCGAAAGCAGCAGAACAAAAACTGACTTTATCTGGCCAGAAGCCACACCAGCAGACAGACTGGACCTCCCCTGGGGAGGTTCTGCTCCTCCTGAAAGTGCATTCAAATGAGCTCACCTGCACACAGGAAAAACAGTGCCAGAGAGCAAGGGAATGAGGGCAAGACGAGCTTCCCCAAGGAGCTGCTGGGTGGGAAGTGTGGGGCTCTCACTGATCTGATACTCCCCTTGGAGCAACAGAGCCAAGCCTTTGGGAATTCTATCACACTTAAATTGTGCTATCTCCATGAAAGCTGGGGAGACAGGAATAACCTCAAGGACTTAAGAGAGAAACATGGCCTCAATGCTAAGCACAGACTCGGGAGGTGGAGATGAGGGACCACTGAAATAATCTGCAGATGCTGCTAAATCCAAAAGCTAGCATCATCAAGACAAAGTAAACAAGAGTCAGATCCCAGGACAATAACGGTTCCCATTTGATACCAGTGAAGCTGTGGGAGCAGATACAAAGGACCATTGTCTTTGTGTGCAGGGAACACAGAGTCCCCCCCCCCCCCCAGGGTCCCCCCTCCCCTCTGCGGAAGCTCCCAGCAGGAGCTGTAAGCACCAGTTAGGCTTCCTGCTGACCACACAACACAGCTCATTCCCAGCAGCTCCCACCCGGAGCACCAACCACAGTGGACCTGGAACTCACATCCTCCAGAAGCCGTCCTTCTACCCGAAGCTCCCAGGAAGCCACTGTCCCTTCCCCATCCTCGGCATCTGACTTCGCCGGATTGAAAGTGTTAGAAATGAAAATTCGAAGCTTCCGTTTTTGCTGAGGAAGGCAGACACAGGATTGATCGTGGGGCTTCAGTAGTTTGATGTTAAGGACAAGGGTTCTCCAAGGCTGTCTTACTATAGGTGGATTAGACTCCACTTAGAATACAAGCCCCCAGCCTGAGTATCAATAAATACACTGGGTTACCAGGTGGACCGAACCAGGCAGAGTGGCAGGTTCCCAAGGCAGCAAGGAGTTACAGCAAAAACATAGACAGGGTATATTTCTGGTGCTCCCTGCCCCCTCCTCTGCCAGCTGTTCTACTCTTAGGCTCCTAATGGAATTCCTGGTTTGTGGGCGAGAGGGAGACGCAATCTGAATGCCAAGGAGAGCTGTACTGCGCCTTTGATTTTTCATCCTAAGCCTGGTGAAGGTTCCCGTCCCCTCCCTTGACCCTCTGCCTAGGGCTTTCTTTCCGTTGTTACCTTGATGGGACGTTTCAAGGCCTCCTGGATATCTAACCGTTTCCTCATGATAGTCTGGTCCAGTTTCCTTTCAAAAGCCAGGAGATCCATATAGGCCTGTGATTCTGGTACCAATTCCCGAATCTTAGGAACAGAAAGAGATGATTGGGCCCTAGAGCTGACCACTTCCGGTCTCCGTCACTACTCAAAAAGACCTCTAGAACCTGCACTCACCCTTTGAGGTAGGATTTTGTCAGCCATCTTCTTTTTCTTTGCACTGTTCAGAACAAATACTGCTATCAGGTTGGGACAGAACTAGTCAGAACGTAAGTTAAACTGTCAGCACCTTCGTTTACGGCACGGCTGAGGCCTGCAAAATGGCTCTCCCAGTTACCATCAAGGACTCCATCTCCACCTCCACCATGACACCAGGAAGGCTTCACACGGGTGGGTCCCTGCAGCACCTTTGGTGACACAGCACCACCACTTCCTGGTTCCCGCCACCGGTATCCTCACTGTGGCCTCTCCTCCCACTCACTCCTTTCCTTCACCCCGGGGGTCGTCTTACTTGTGATTTCGATTTTGGACCGCCTGCTGCTGGACCTGCTGGATCTGTTGAGGCGCAGGTCTCTTGCGGGACTGGTCCATCCCTGACTGGGCCAGGCCAGGTCGGACTGAAGGGTTCCCCCCATAGCCAGGAGGTCCCATGGAAGGTCCCTGAGGAGTCATTCGGCTGCCAGGCAGCATACCTGGTCTCTACGGGAGGGAGAGGACCCAGAGATGTCATACCTTTCCTTGACAGCCCCACCAAGAAAGGAAAAGTGATGGCAGTCTGGAGTTTTGAAACGGAACAGGGCTGGGGGGGCAGAGTGGGAGGACAATCAGACAGCCTTCGGCCTCTCTGAAATAGGGTAACTGGACCTTCTTCAGGCCTAGTAGTGATTTCATAGAATAGAGGGCCGAAAAACCAGATTACACTGCAATTTTCTGGCCTGGTTGGATCTGACTCGCCAGACACCTCTAGCCCTACACTTCCTTTCCTAGCTGCTAGCTCCTCTCAAGCTGGCCTCGATTTGCAGCTCTAACTTGGGCGTCCTCCGGACACTGGCGCTGCCCATGCCGGGGCCCACGTCGCCCACCCCGGATTCCACACTCTCTCCTCAAGAGGACACAACGCGGCCGGGAGCAGGTGAGGATGCTAACCCCCTCCCCGTGTCCCCCCCCCGCTCTTCCTCGGCACTGCTTCCCCCACCGCCACCCGGGACCCGAGCCCCTCCCGAGGGAGTCCCTCCCACTTCTCCCTCACCCCTGTCAGTCCTCCGCCCTCGCTCGGCCCCGCCCCCGGCCCACGCGCCCCTCCTCCCGCCCCACTCACCGGATAGGCCGCCCCGGGCATAGGGGAGCGGTACAGCCCTTGACCCGGCGCCGGGCCCATTCGCACGGGAGGCCCGGGAGTTCCGCCCGGGCCCAGAGCAGCCGCCACGCCCGCCCCTCCTGAGGCTCCGGCACCGCCGCTCGGAGCCACAGACTGGAAACCCGCCCGGGCCGCCATCTTCCCGGAGCCGCCGCTGCAGCTGCACAAAGAACCGGAACCGGAACTCCCCCCGCCCCCCGCGCGCCCCCCGAGAGCCTGGGCTGTTTGTGGGCCCGGCCCGCCGGCGGGCACGGGCGGCTCGGGGCAGCGAGACTACGGGCTAGAGGGGGCCAACTAGCGGGAAAGGCGTGCTGACCACTCCCTCCCGCCTTCGCGGGCCAGTAGGGAGCACCATCGAGAAGCGATGCGCGGATAGAGAGGTGACGGGAGCGGGCGCCCCCGGGCGGCCGGAGGACGACCAGGCGTTGCGAAGAGACCAGCCCACCCCGCCGGCTGGAGCGCCTGCTTCACCGCAGCGCAGAGCGTTTTATCCTTTTCCAAAGCATTCTGTGTGCTTTGCTTTCCATTCCGCTGCTCCGACTCCGGGGACTAGAGAGAGAAACGTGCTGTTTGTTCGTTTTACGAACGGAAAAGCTGAACTCAAAGGAGTTAAATGTCTTGGCAAAGACAAGTCGGCAAATTAAAAGAAAAGCCGTCCTGGCTTCCGGTCTCCTGGCTGGTAGCCGGGGCCTCATTTCATAGATAGTGGCTCAATAACTCCCCGATGCGGGAACTTCAACCTTCATCTCAGACCTTTAACTAAAGATTTTAATGAGTGTTGACTTTGAATCCTCTCCAAAGAGTCCTGGAAATCTGTTGCCTTTGATTACATTGCCCTTCCACTGCCCAGTGATTCACACTATTCCTGAACCTGTCCTTTTCCAGGAGGATCAGTGTTTACCTGATCAAATATGTAAGGTCCCACGTAGACCGGTAAACTCTAGTGGAAGACAGAGGCTTCCATCTCCCCAGTGCTGGAATTACAGTGTAACCATCACACCGGACTACCACTCAAATTCCCTAACTCCCTCGCGTGGCCCTCTAGGCAAGCTCCATCCTAATGGTAATACCTATAAACTCTTCAACCAAAAAGAACAACACTGAAGCGGAGATGGTTGAAACCCAGTTTATTAGACCAGAGGCATGCGTCACCCAGAGCCCCGCCTGCTGTCCCCCAACCAGTGCGCACTTCTCAGCTTTGCCCGGCTTCCTTCTGGGGAGGTCTGATGTCTAAAGAACTCTTGGGAACCAAGAGTTCTCAAAGATGCTATAGCCTCACTCTCTGGCTCCAGGCCAACGTACACGGGTGATCTGCCCACGAGTCCTGTTTGGGGACTAGAGACCAAGAGACCATGGGGCAGAGGAGGGCCTGGAAAGGGGTTGGGTCTCTGGCCTGGGAAGAGTCCCCGGTAGGGGTGGGGAGGCCCTCTACTTCAACTTGCGGCCCCTCAAGGTAGGGACACACAACAGCAGAGCTGTCGACTCCCTCTCTAGGCCCATCTCTTTCCTCACATGACCAAACCCCGCCTCACCAGAAAATGGTGGGCCTGGGCATCCAAGTGAAGAAGGGGCACTGGGCACCCAGAGCAGAGGAAGGCCGCTGGATGAGGACTTCCGCTTCTGTCTGTGGGTGCCCACTGCCCCAGCTGCACAGTCGCCAGCCCCCAGCTCCCTCGGTCTCTAACACTCTCGGCTCAGTGTCCGGCATAGCTCCGGGCGCTACCTCTGCAGCAGCGATCCCTTCCCCGGGGGAGGCCACGGTCAGCCAGGCCAAGGGCCTTGGGCTAGGTGGAGCGAGGGAGAGGGTGTGTTAAGGCTGTGGGGGAGGGCAGGGTGCCCCGGTTGCAGGGTCAAGGGCGAGGCCAGAAAGAGGCAGAGCTTGTAATTCACAGCTTCCTTTATGTCGCCGCCACCGAGACAGTGCGAAGGTTACAATGCGCGTGTCGTCTCCTTGTGCTTCTCAGAGGGATGTGTGTACACGGTACAGACACCAGGGGGGAGTCCAACTCTTTATACAGGCAAAGGCATTCAGAGACTAGGGGGTGGGGATGGGGAGAAACAGAAGGGGGAGCTGGGGTGGGAGGATGATTCTCAGAGACAAGAGGGAATGGGTGGAGACAAACGGGGTGAGAGGAAAGTATATACAGAGATATAGCAATATAGAGTCTGTATCGTATAGAAATAGAAAATGCAGATGAGGTTGTCGAGAGAAGCAAATGAAGCCGGGGAAGAGGAGCGTTCCATAAGAAAATTTATGGATGTGGCCCTCTGCAAAGGCCTCTGAAGGAGAAGCTAGGGAGGCCAAGCTCCAGGACCCCTCTCCCTGAGCTGGAAGCTAACCAGCCAGGTCCTTTATGGGATGTAGAGGAGAGCTGCCTCTTAGGATTTCTCTCCAGCAGCTTTGAGATGGAGGTGACTTACAGATATCGGGATGTGGCCTACAGCACCAGGGCCACATGGAGTCCCCATCTCTACTTCTTCAGGAGATCCTCTACCCCCTAACGATTCCACATGATCGAGGGATCAGAACTGAGCATTTTGTTCTTACCTGGAGACTCGGGCTTGTGGGGAGTCAGTGGGCTGAGAGTCTTTTAAGGCTAGGGAAGCCCCCTCACTAGCCCTCTCCCTTAAGGTACATTCTCTGGTTTGGGGTCCAATTTCAGACCCTAGAGATCCCCTCCACCCCTCACTAGGAGAGGGCTTTGGTGACTGGTGGTAGCAGAATGTAGGCGGATACTCAGATGACAGACAGCCAGACAGACAGAATTCAGGCTTGGAGCTAGGGGAGGCAGCATGGAGCAGAGAGGGCAGCCTGAGGTCCTGGCCGGATCTCTCTCGTTCTCTCTTTTTATATTAGTTTAATTTTGTTAAAATAAAAAGATGGGATAGAGGCAGGGAGCGGACTATGGTGAAGACTCCTTCCTCACCAGACAATGAGGAACCACTGCGCAGGAGTGCAGTTGAGTCCCCAGGGTAGATGGGGGCAGCTGGGGGCCCCTCGTTCTCCTAGCCCTCCCCATCTAGGCCTTTGGTACGGTGGCCTGCGGGGGGCTTAGCAGGTAAAGTCCTCAAACGTGCCTCGGGCGGGATGGTGAGGTAGGATGTTGGCAGCGTAGGTCATCCCGGCAGGATGGCCCCGGAGGCTCTCGCAGGGATTCTAGCGGAGGGAAATAAGACAGGGACAGGTTACGGGAAAGGGCCGCAGGTAAAAAGGTGGCGTGGAGGCGGGGTTGGCGGAGGCGTTGGGGGAAGGGGCAGGCCAGAGGACGCCCCGTGCCTTGCTCCCTCACGTGTCTTTTGACGTCATCCAGGCTGAGCGCCACGCCCTTGTCCGCGCTGCTCCTCTTGGCCTCCTTCTGGCATTTCCCTCTTCTACACAACCGGTGCTTAATGACCTGGGAGAGGCCGGGGCAGGTTGGGTGGACTGGAACCCCCAACCCTGAGTGGCCCCGCCCAGCCCCGCCCCCCTTACCTCGTAGGCATAGTCAAAGAGTTCCAGCACTGTGAGGATGCTGGCCCCGATGAACAACCCCATCTGGCCCCCGATGTCTCCTGCGGGTTCGGGTTGGAGAGGTTAAGCGGGCTCAGGACGCCGAGGCCGGAGAGGCGATGAGGCTCAGTAAGACGGGGGCACGGCAGCCATGTTTGCAGAGACCGGCCCCTTGATACACAAGGGTCAGAAAACCAGAATCTGGCAGGATTTTTATTCTATGCTTTTTCTGTATCTTCCTACTTTTCCAAAATGAGTAGTTATTATTCAGGGGGGGAAACAAAGCAACAACGAATTCTTTACAAAATGCACTACTTGCTTAGCATCCGGTCCACTTTCAAGGACATGTGAAAGTTTCTGTTCCTGTCCCTCAGCCCCTTTCTCTGACCTACCTGCTTGTCTTTTCCACTTTGTCCTAAGAGAAGGCCCCGCCCTTCTCCTCCACTTCATGCCATACTAGAGGGCTCAGGGAAAGACCTTTGGGGATGGGACAGGCTGGGAGCACCAGACATTGGGTTGGGAGGGGGCCGTGTCATGTCCTAGGCACGGGAGAGGGCTGGTTCTGTTCACAAGCTCACCCAAGAGCCCTGCGATCTCATAGGCCTTTTTCTGCTCGATGGTCTCATAGTTGAGAACTTCAAAGAAGATGTCCAGCACCAGGATGTTCTCCCTGTGCAGGGATGAGAGGGGAAGAGCTAGGTTCGAGTCATATCTCTGTCCCATACCAGACAGGTCATCTTAGCATGTGAGCCTCTCTGAGGCTGTTTCCATATTCCTAAACCAGATACTGCCTTCTCGAGGTGCTGCAAGGGTTAAATTAAATGACATGCATGAAAAGACACATTGCATGCTGGCAAGAAGTGGGAGGTGATCTCGGTTACAGCAAGGAATTTGGAGCTGGAAGATGAAGCGAGAATCTCGCGGCAGGGGGTTGGGGGGGTGGGAGGTTGGGGGGGTAGCACGCTTGATCTCCCCCCCACAGCCCACACTCTTTGGTTGCCTCCTGGACCTTCCGTGAATTCTATCGACTTCCTTGTGCCGGTGAGACTCCCGTTAAAGTCCGCTCTTACCCTCTACAGTCCTTGTACAAGGGCCCCGCCCCGCCCAGGAGCATCCTTACCCTATGTACTGCTCCGATTTGTTGAACTTCTTGGCCAGGTACTTGGCCGAGGCTTTGCTGGGGATTTTGACCATGGACAGCTCCTTGCCGTAGCGGGTCAGGTTGCAGGGCATCTCGCACACGCAGTATTCCTGGTCCTTCTCCACTAGGAAGTCTGTGCCCGTGGAAGAGGCATTCGTTGAGTGGGGTCCTTCGGCCAGCACCTTCCCAATGTGGACATACTGGCCCCGCCCAGAGGGTCCCTAGGGCCCCGCTTTGGCCTCAGCCCCACGTCTGCCGCTGATCTCCACCAGCCTCCCTGTGGATATATTTAATCTCATGTGTCATCCCCTCAGGGTTCTCGAGGACCAATCATCTGAGGCTGAAAGAGGGTGAAGGCCCCTCCCAAGAGATCCTTATTAATTCTCCACAGGGACCTTGGTGGTGCAGTTCTCAGCATCTAGAGGCTACTGCGGGTGGAGACCCAGCCTAATGCAGGAAGGAGTTCACCCTTGATCTCGGTCCTCCGTGCAGGAGGCAGATCGCACGCTCTTCCCTCCCTCTACCTGTCCCAGGTCAGAGGTGCTCACCCAGGGCAGGATCTGCACACTCCTTGTACTGCTCTGGGGTGCAGTATGGGGCGTCCCCTACAAAGGAGAGAAGATGGTGGGACAGGAAGAGACTAGAGGGGTGGTGGCATGATACTATGTAAGGAGGAAGCTGGAAGATGGGACGGTAGGACTGGCCATCCCTAGTACCCTGGAAGTGACCTACTCTGACAGTCCACCCTTTCCAGACCCTTCCACCCCCTCCCTGTAGACAAAGGCAGGAACTGAGAGACAAGAGCCAGAAAGATAAGAAATGGAGTGATCTGGGACCAGGGCTAGGGAGGCCAATACAGATGGGGCACAGGTGAGGGGCAGTGCAGCCTGAAATAGCCCAGGACTGTGCTTGGAATCCTGGGGCCTGACCTGGCATGTGCACCATACGGCAGTTGCAGTTTTCCACCAGGTAACGTGTTTCACAATCAATGCGGCAGGCGGTGATGCTGTAGGAGTCGAAGAAATCCGAGTCCATGGTAACAGCATTGCAGGTGCCCCAGGGTGAGGGCAGGTAGATGAGCTGCTGGGAGAGCCGGGGAGCTGGGGAAGTGTGGGGACTTCTCCCCAACTCACCTTAATGGACTTCTCTGGCCAGATGCATGA